CTTTGACGACGAACAATCACTTGAAGGGTGCGCATATCTGACAAAAGTTGTTGCTCTAGAGAATTTTAAGCATTGAGAAAAATATTCGGTTGAATCATAGCGAATGTTATTGTTAAAAGACGAGCTTAGCAATGTTTGTGGTTAACTTCCGTTTCCTGACTTCCTCTAGTTAAGTTGCTTACTTCCGTTTCCTTTCGATTTATATTTTTGACTTTTCGATTTATTTTTATGAGCCGCGGCTTTGACTTATCATTTGGGAGTTTCGTATTATAAATAACAAAGTGACTATATGACCGGCAGCCGGTCACGGTTTTTCAAATACTAAATGGCCGGCAGTCTGGTGACTATAGTTGAATATAAAAACTTTTGTTTGCGTTAACTTTTAGCGAGCTTGCCGTTAGCTCATACGACAAGGGCGCTGCGTGCGGAAAGTTAAGCCACAGAATAGATAATAGGACCAGAAGTCTTACTCAAGCGGAAACATGTCCCATCTTTTATACTGCGCATGCGCGAGCTAAACAAGTGTAATGCAGTGTTGACAATAGAAAATTATATTGGGAAGTTGTCATTTCTACAGTAAAAACAGCTTTTTTTTCAAGTAGTACGAATTGTGACTTCGATTTATCTGTGGAACTATTTGAACAGAAGGTAAAGCAGTAATTTTATTGTATTTAGAAAGCAAACAGAGTCATATTTTTAAAAATATAGCGCACTGAATATAAATTTGAGCGTCATTAAAATGTGTTCGCTATGATGCCATTTTGTCTCCGGTATATACGGAGTTCTGCTTTTATACTTGTGGATATTCGAATTTATTTGGCTCAACCATTACTTCAATATCCCTTTCTTGTTTTTCCTTGGATAGGTTTTAACAAGATAGAACTCTAGATCCCTTGGGTCCAAAGACGCTAGATTATAAAATCCTGATGTGACTTGATACTACAAATAGAATATGTCTTATGATTTAATACTACAAATAAAATGTCTTTTAAGTACAAACTCCAATGAATTGATAAAGTGTAAGGATAGTGTTTAAAGTTGCTTCATGTGTAGAAGCTGAATTACTTTAGTTTATACACTGTATATTGTCGAGATCACATGTTGATATAACTTAATACCAGCAACTTGCAATAAGTGGTCTGTTCTGCTTGTTTATAATACTTTAGAGTTTGGACATTAGAACATTGTAATTGCCTGACAGAGACTGTTAGGTCCTGTTTGTATGGAAGCCAGGCTGGCCCGCTTAGGAAGACAGCCCGGTAAGGTAGGTAAGCAGGATGATTTCTCTTGTGTTTATTTGAGAAAATTTCATTCCGCTTACCGGGACAATTTTGTTGTTTTGACATTATTTTGACAGTTGTTAAAAATAGCTTGCGGCAGTATCTTTGAACTTTCATCCCGGCAACCGGGCTAGCCTGCTTATGATTATTTATGTGGAGAAATTTCCATCCTGGTCTTGGCAACCGGGCCTGCCCGCTTGTCCATAGAAATGATAATTTGTACTATAAAAATAACTAGACAGCGAGATCTCACTTACCGGGCTGTCTCACTTAGCGGGCCAGCCAGTTTCGATATAAACAGGCCCTTACACAACTGCTAAAAGCTGCAAGTTTCTTTAGAGCAATATCGTCTATATCACAGAATACAGTTTCTGTAGTGACATACTTCGTGTTTTTTCTGTCTTTAAAGTGTCTTATGTTTGTAATATTTTTGTACAATACCTTTTTGAAATTGTTGATACTGATCTCATTGTAACTCAGTAGTCTCAGTTATTCCTTCTCAAGAAAAATAAAAAAACAAAGCTGTGTGGGTGTGTTTTTGCTCTAGCTAGTTTTTACATTTACATGGTTCATGTACAATTAATGTACATTTAGATTAGCTTTGTTCAGTGAATACAGGTGTGATTCAAATATCATTCCTGTCAGGTACTTGGGTCAAATAGACATAAGCATACCAAATCATGTTGTGAATTGAAATACAAGTATAGGGTGTGTATTGTTTAATAAATATATTTTCCAGTTAACCCAGTGAGCTGCATTGTGCCCCAATGCACCCTACTTTACTAGTTTATTTCACTTCATCTAATGCCAGATTATTTTACTTATCGAGGGAGAGTGCTGCTGCTCATTGAGCTCTGATTGAGTTCACTGAGTGGCAGCACTTTCCCCTTGACGAGTGAAATTGTCTGGCGTTAGACAGAGTAAAATAATCTTGCGTTCAATCAAGCAGCTACTTTTTCAAAAGCTCAACCAGGCTAAAGATTCTTTGATTTGAAAACCAAAGTGATAGTGAACTAGTTAGTTGAAACAAGCAGAATTGTTTGATTTATTTACTTCCCACAACATTGACAATTAAAATTTAATTTGATACTTTTCCAGTATATTGACATTATATAGGTTGAGATTTGACTACCATTACCATTAAGGGACCATCAACCAATCAAATGCATTTGATATATTCGATCAACCATTAGGGCTGCAAATTACTGTCGGACATCTCGGACAATGTCCGACTAAATTTGGCAAATGTCCGAGCAAAAGTAATTTTGATTGGACATTAGTCCAATCACATAAAAAAAATTGTCACATACATTTTTTTGTTGTGACAAAATCCAATTGCAAATTCACTCAATTTGCATTTTGCAATAAAATTTACGAGGCGTTCTCGCATTTACTTTTACTTACCGTTGCGCCAGAATGGCATACATACTTGTCTCGTGACTTCTAAATATCTTGTGACATGTATGTCCGACCAAATTTAGTGATGTTGGTTTTTGTCCGACCCAATTCAAGTTATGTCCGACCAAAATTAAAAGTGATCGGACAAATGTCCTGTCAAGTCAAATATTTATTTTCAGCCCTGAACCATTATAATGAAAGTGTGAGTTTATTCATAAACTAATTATAAATCAACTTCCATGCAATGCTTCATGCAATCATCTAGTTATGCACCAGTCAATGTAAATCCCTGCCCCCAACCGGGGAGGGGTGGAAGGTTTAGCGGGGAAAGTGGTCAGTTTTGATTATAAATTTGTCCCCGATGATGGGAGACTTGGACAGTGGTTAACATATATATCCTGTGTTGCTGTTTTAGTTTTCTTGACAAGAAAAGTTTAAATACAACAACATAAATGAATTTGATTTTCTATTGCTGATCTATGATTATACAAAACTATTTTCCTGGGGTTGAGAGACATGCAGGGGACATTGATGTCCCTGGGGGCGGGGACAATTTCGCTCTTTTACTACCCCTCCAAGTCAAAATCCCTGCCCCTCCCTGGTTGGGGGGTTTACATTGACTGGTGCATTAATTAAAGAAGTGTCAGTGCCACATATGTAGTAAAAGCCAACTTGTCAGTAAAGGCCACAGAGCAAGATTGTATTTCAAAGACTGCCAGTGACAAAAACAATTGATAGTCCTGAAATAGAGTATGCCAACAGTTAGTATACTGCAAATAACTATTCTATCAACAAGATAATGTGTCTGTTTTACAAGTGTTTTTTATATATCAATCCAATGGCATGTAACCTAAAATTCAGCAGTGTCTGTGTAATGAAATACACACCCTTACTTCTCAAATATGGTCAAATTAACTATACTACATTGTGTATAATAATATATGGACTGGTTCAAAAATATATTGAATTTATATTAGTGAACTGGTGAACTATTGATGTAGAGATTATGCCAAGTATAGAATGGCACAAGGATTTTCATGTTATCAGCATGATTAAATCGTGAGATTGTGCAAATAATCTCGGTAAATCTCTTAGAGATATCCTCAGCAGCTACATTTTAAGGTAAAATGACTATGGTAAAGCTATTCAAGGCAAAAAAGCAATGGATCTGTCAACCTCGTTGTCAACAGTAAATTTAGCTAAGTTTATGATCCATTTATTGCCGTATTTTAGCTGAGAATTCATTTAAGACAATGCAGTACGATAGACTTACGTTTGAATTTATGATATATTCTTTTAAAATGGTCACCAAAGCTCTAAAACTCGATTGGTATCGTTTTAACTTTCTCACTCCTTAATGTTTACATGTAAATTTGTCAAATTACACTTGTTTAGGGCACTGGAAACAAGACACGGCCAAGATGCGCGAGGCGACATGCGCGGGGACATCAACATCAAAGATTCCGACATCGAGTGAGACTTCTGGTCTTGTTATTTATTTTGTGATGATGATGATGATGATGATGATGATGATGATGAGGATGATGATGAGGATGAGGATGAGGACGACGACGACGACGACGACGACGATCACGACGACGACGACGATGACAATCACGACGACGACGACGATCACGACGATCACGACGACGACGACGATCACGACGACGATCACGACGACGATCACGACGATCACGACGATCACGACGATCACGACGATCATGATGATCATGACCAAAGTAAAATATATTGTTCTCATTTGCTATATATATGCAAATTTGCGCAACAAACAAGTGACAAAAATTGCCAGCCGGCAACGCCTTCGCACTTCTAAACACTAACAGTGGAAAATAATAGGTTTGATTAAAAATGCCTCCAAAACCGCGTAAACAGCTGGATTGCAAACGAATACAGAACTCTAAGAGCGAACATTTTAAGTCTGGTAAGTTTGTTTTTCATTTACAATGCCATTTTCCCTACTCACGTAAGTGTAATAAACGTCTCGTCGTTAATGTTTATTAGATACGAGACGAACAGAAAGCAATCGCATGCCGTGCTACTTGGCGTGTGTGCAACGAAGATATAGAGCTTGCAAGATTTCAAATAGCTTCCAAATGATTGCTGTTGGACGATGCCATTAATGCGATAGGAGTGCATTCCTTTTTCTCCTGCATCACAAGCGTTTGTTCAAACTCGAAATCAAAACTTGAAGAGGAACCCACCAACACGGAGCCCAATGAAACCTATCCTTTGATTGCATATTTCACTGTGTACACACCCAACGACAATTGCAACGACAACACCTTTTTTACCGCGCTACATAACCAAGATTTAGAGCCGGTCATTCAAGGTATGAAAGTGCGAAACGCTGCCAATAATTAATTGGAAAATGCGGCAAGACAGCTCTTTCAAACAGTGAAGGACCATAACAACCGCAGTATCCAGGAGATGCTTGACAGTAGTGGTAAAACACCGGTTCTAGCACAGTTTGCTAAAACACGCATTTTACCAAACAAGTTTAGTCATGTCTGACTTTTCCGGGACTTCTCTTCCGCCCCTTCGAAACATTTTGTAAAAGTTGTTTCCCAAGACTTTATAAAATCCGTTCCCAAGACTTTTCCAAGATCCTCTTCAAGACTTTCCCAAGACGTTTCCGGGATCGTCTTTCTTGGAGACATTTGTAAAGAAAAAAGACTTTTTCCAAGATTTGTTACCGTGGAAAAAAAGTATCTTATGAGAATTGGATATAGAATAAAAGAAGGTCTGTTCGGTTCCATCCGGTCGATAGAGTCTAATATATAGAGTTATTTATTTTTTTCCCTAACCTATTCGAGGTTAGGGAAATTTTTTCTTTTTGGAATCCGGATTTGGAAAATATATATAGAAATAAAGTATATAGTAAAAGTTCGATAACTTAGAAGTTTATATATTAGATTTCATAGAACGGATGAGATCCGGTTCCCTCAAATTACTGAAGGAGGGCAAAACTACGGGAACGGAGAAGGAGATCAATGACCGTTTCGATGCGTACGCTAGGGAGGAAAGAATGAGATTTATCGAAAAGGAACGGGAAGAAAAAAAGTGGGAGAGTGATATTGCGAAAGAAGAGAAAAGACGAAATAAGGATATTGCGTACTGGAAGGCGGAAGCTCGAGAATGGAAGAAGGAACTTCGCGAACGTCGAAAACAATCTGAAAAGAACGCGAAACAAAAAATTCGGGAAGAAAAAAGATGGCAAAGCGACATTACAAATGAAGAGAAAAAGCGAAATAAGGAGATTGCGTACTGGAAGGCGGAAGCCCAAAAATGGAAGAAGGAGACGCAACGTTTACGTCGGAACGAAAAAGCTAGGGAAACATATGCTGAGGAAAAGCGTCAGATTGCATCGGGTCGATGGAAAGGTAAGAAGAAATTTGCTAAACTTCAGTTTGCTCTTGAAAAGAAACTGAAAAAGATTTGGCAAAACCCTAGAGAAAATTTCGAGCCCGTTCTTGAAAAACATGCGTTCGGAAAAAAAGTAAAAAAGTATTCGATCACCCCGAACGGAAATTACGAACCATTATATTTTTTAGATGTGACGGCAAGTGAGGTTCGTAAACTTATAGATTCCGTAAAGGGATTGAAGAACGTAAGATTATGTTTGGTTTGTAAGATGGTAAAAATGAACGGCGCGACGGGAGAGGAAACGGTAGATATTGCACATTTCAGTTCGAAAAATTATAAGTTGACCGGAACGGATATGACGGAAGAAACGTTGAAGGAGATGAAAGGAAAAATCCTAGAGTCTTTTTCAAAATATCAGAAGAACGGTAGCGGATGGACGTTACGAAGACTGATCCGGCTAGATATCAACATCGAAAAATATGAACCGCTTCGAGGTGCAAAACATGTGAAGTTACCCGAAAAAATGAAGGGGAAAAAAGCGATCGTTAACATGAAAAATGAAGACGACGAGTGTTTCAAATGGGCGGTCACGCGTGCGTTAAATCCGGTTGATAAAAACCCTGGAAGAATCACAAGGGAACTTCGGAAACAGTCTGAAAAACTAAATTGGGATGGAATTAAATTCCCAACACCAATCAATGATATCGGTATATTTGAGAAAAATAATATTCCTATCAACGTTTTCGGGAGTGACGAGAAGGAAAAAATCTATCCCATCCGTATATCGGGAAAACCTAATCCCATCCGACTTTTCTTTTGGGATAATCATTATGGTGTCGTGAAGGATATGTCGAGACTTGTCAGCAGTCAACTTAGTAAGGATGAGCATAAAAATATATTTGTGATCGATGTATCAATGTATTTGGAACACAAAAATTATTGGACGATCACGAAATACTATGTTCCGAACATGAATCTCAGAGACAAGTATACGTCAAACCCGGAGAGAAATTAAAATTTAAGAGTTACGAAAAGATACACGAAGGTCCGTTCGTTATTTATGCGGATATTGAGAGTTATATTGAACCGTTGGATGTTGAAGAAAAGAGTTTGGATAAATCAAGTGCCACTCGATACCAGAAACATAATCCCAGCGGATTTACATATCTCATCAAATGTTTTGACGACTCTCTTTACGAACCAAAATTAGTTTGTTATACACAACAATATGAGGGAGAGAATGTGATGGAGAAATTTATCATTCTTCTCGTAGCAGATATCATCGATATTTACAATAGATTTATGGTACCGACTCCTATCGAAATGATGCCGGACGATATCATGGATTTTACGGAGTCGATGCAATGTTATACATGTAGCGGCTTGTTTACGGATAAAAATCCGAAGGTAAGAGATCATTGTCATTACACGGGTCGATATCGTGGAGCGGCATGTAATTCGTGTAATCTTCGAATGAAAAATCCAAAATTTATACCGGTTCTTTTTCATAATTTAGAGGGATATGACGCGCATCATTTCATTAGAAATCTAGGTGTGAGTGAAGGAGATATTGACTGTATCCCTCGAACGGAAGAAAATATATATCGTTCACAAAAAATATCGTGGTCGATACGTACAAGGATGTGAAGGGGAACGTCAAAAACATCACGAGAAAGATCCGGTTTTTAGATTCGTTCAAATTCATGTCGAGTTCGTTAAGTAATCTTGTGAACGATCTTGGAAAAAAGGATTTTGTAATGACGGATCAGATGATGTTGGATTATACGACGGAACAACGGGATATCCTCAAACAGAAAGGAGTGTATCCTTACGAATACATGGACTGATTTCCTAGATTGGAAGAAACATCTCTTCCACCCAAAGACAAATTTTTCAGTAGTTTAACGAATGAAAATATTACGGACGAAGAGTACGAACGAGCACAAAAGGTATGGAAATTATTTGACATGAAAACTATGCGCGACTACCACGATCTATACTTGAAAACAGACGTTCTTCTTCTGGCAGACGTCATGGAAAGATTCCGTGGAGTTTGTATGGAGAATTACGAACTCGATCTGTTATGGGAATATACGACACCGGGATTAACGTGGAACGCATGTTTAAAAAATACGGAAATACATTTAGAATTAATTTCCGATCCGACTATGTTTAATTTTATTGAGAGATGTAGTCGTGGTGGTATTAGCATGATCAGCAAAAGATATGCAGTTGCAGACAATAAGTATATTGGTCTTTCGAAAATACCGTATAGTATTATCCAATGCATGAAAAAATTAGACGATACTATTCGAAAAGATCCTGAAGATTTAGATAAAAAATTAGATGCATTCGAAGCCGAGGTAGAGAATATCGTCAAGGATTATGACGATGCAGATGTGGAATTCATCAACCAGTACCTGGATAAAAATCTTACAAGATGGGTTGAGAGTATTCGTCGTAACGGTGAAGATCCATCTACATACTTACCCTATCTGGATGCAAATAATCTGTACGGATGGGCAATGAGTCAACCATTACCCTACGCAGATTTCGAATGGATGAACGACAACGAATTAAGGAAATGGGATCGGCTTCCATCGGGAAAAGGATGTTTTCTAGAGGTAGATTTAGATTATCCGGACGAACTTCATGATTTACATAATGATTACCCGCTTGCACCCGAAAGGATTAAGTTGGGAAATGTAGAAAAACTTACACCAAATCTTAACGATAAGAAAAATTATGTTCTTCATTATCAGAATTTAAAATTATATATCAAACTAGGATTAAAATTAACTAAAATTCATCGCGGCGTTATTTTTTCGGAAAAGCCTTGGTTGGCGGAATATATTCAACTGAACACCAATTTACGTAAGAAGGCAAAGTCGGATTTTGAAAGTAATTTCTTCAAACTGATGAATAATGCTGTGTTCGGTAAGACGATGGAAAATGTTCGCAACAGAGTGAACATTCAACTTGTCAACCGGGAAGAAAAATGGAATAAGTTAGCGAGAAAAAGTTATTACAAGTCAACAACGATATTTACGGAAAATTTAGCTGCCGTCCACATGAGAAAGACGGTCGTCCAACTGAAAAAACCTATTTACCTTGGCGTTGCTATTTTAGAATTAAGTAAGACGTTAATGTATAACTTTCATTATAATTACATCAAGAAAAATATGGTAAAAATGCCGAACTTTGTTTTACGGACACGGACTCGTTATTATATGATGTAAAAACCGATGATTTTTTCAAATACATATCGTCAGACGTTCGCAAAAGATTCGACACGAGTAATATGGATAAAAACCATCCGTCTGGAATTTTAGCCGGAGTGAATAAGAAAGTCATCGGTGTGATGAAATCTGAAACGGGAACAACCCAGATTATAAAGTTTGTTGGATTAAGGCCGAAGTTATACTCGTTCGTCACGGACGGTGGGAAAGAAGAAAAGAAATGTAAAGGTGTTAAGAAATGCGTTGTGAAAAATGAGATCACGACCCAAAATTTTGGGGATTGTCTTTTCAGCGGTAAGGAGCAATGGCGTAGTATGAATACATTTCGTAGTAGAAAACACGACATTTACACGGAAAGGATAGTGAAGATTGCCTTATCCGCAAATGACGATAAAAGATATATCTGCGAGGATAAAATCCATACTTTAGCGCTCGGACACAGAGACTTACGCAAATAGATCTTGAGATTATTCGCGAGTAATCTCAAGTATGTCTTGTAAAAGACTCGAGTAAATTCTAAGTACGACTTGTCAGTAAACTCCAGTAAATTTGAGTACGACTTCAGTTTACTTGTCAGTAAATTCTAGTACGACTTGTCAGTAAACTCGAGTAAATTTTAAGTACGACTTAAGTTTACTTGTCAGTAAATTCTAGTACGTCTTGTAAAAGACTCGAGTAAATTCTAAGTACGACTTGTCAGTAAACTCCAGTAAATTTGAGTACGACTTAAGTTTACTTGTCAGTAAATTCTAGTACGACTTGTCAGTAAACTCGAGTAAATTTTAAGTACGACTTAAGTTTACTTGTCAGTAAATTCTAGTACGTCTTGTAAAAGACTCGAGTAAATTCTAAGTACGACTTGTCAGTAAACTCCAGTAAATTTGAGTACGACTTAAGTTTACTTGTCAGTAAATTCTAGTACGACTTGTCAGTAAACTCGAGTAAATTTTAAGTACGACTTAAGTTTACTTGTCAGTAAATTCTAGTACGTCTTGTAAAAGACTCGAGTAAATTCTAAGTACAACTTTTCAGTAAACTCCAGTAAATTTGAGTACGACTTAAGTTTACTTGTCAGTAAATTCTAGTACGACTTGTCAGTAAACTCGAGTAAATTTTAAGTACGACTTAAGTTTACTTGTCAGTAAATTCTAGTACGTCTTGTAAAAGACTCGAGTAAATTCTAAGTACGACTTGTCAGTAAACTCCAGTAAATTTGAGTACGACTTAAGTTTACTTGTCTATAAATTCTAGTACGACTTGTCAGTAAATTCCAGTAAATTTAAGTACGACTTGTCAGTAAACTCCAGTAAATTTGAGTACGACTTGTCAGTAAATTCCAGTAAATTTAAGTACGACTTGTCAGTAAACTCCAGTAAATTTGACTACAACTTGTCAGTAAACTTCAGTAAATTTAAGTACGAACAAGCAAATCTCAGTAGAAGTACATATAGAATAAAGAGAATGTCGGACGAACCGAAGACAGATCCACCGGTAACAAATCCCGTAAAAACTAAAGATCCAAGAAAAGTCGAAGCGGGAAAAAGACTTGCAAAAATTAGTCGGGAAGCAATGGCGAGAAAGAAAGCGCGTCTGGAATTAGAAGAACGGCAAAATTTTGAAGAGGAAAATGTATCGATGTTTTCCTTGGAAAAGATAAGTCTGGTTTTCGGTATTGGGATCGGTATAGGATCACTTTACCTTGCGTGGCGTAACGCGAACAAAGATGTGGAAAATGTTGTGGAAGACGAAAAGTGTTGCGAAGTTAAAGAGGAAGCATTGGAACCATCTGTCGACTTATTTGATTAATTTATTTTTTTCCTTAGAAATAAAACAGTGGATAGGAAGGAAGCGATCAACGAATTGTACGATGCAGCATTACTAACGACCGGTGTCGTTGGCGTATCTTACGTTGCGAAAACAGTCGCCGGGAAAAGTTTGGGTGCACCGATGACACTGGAAGGAGCAATTAAATTGGGTCTTGCCGTTGCCGGAAGTTCATTTGCTATTGGATATTTGAAAGACAAAGGATACGTTCCGAAAGTCATTAATAAATAATGACAACTCTAGTCGTCGGAGGATTATTTAATGCCGTTGCATTTGCGGGAGCAGGATTATTATTTTCCCGGTTGAATCATAACGGATACAAGGAAGAAGTCAGAAGACATAATCAAGCGTTGGAAGAATTGGCGAAAACTAAAGAGAAATTCTACGAATCCGAAGTAAAACGTCGGAACGACGAAGCAAGACGACGTGCCGAAATTTTAGATGCGAATGCAGATATAGAAGATACAAACAAAGCGTTAGAAAATCTAAGAAATTATACGAGACGTATGGACGCAACGGTATTAGACCGTAAACCAAAATTAGAAGATTATTATCAACCGTCGGATGAAATGAAAAAATACGAAATCATTACGATGAGTTTGCTAGGGGTTGGAGGTGCTTACGGAATCACGCGTCTATTTTAAATTCTTTTCTGAATTTAAAATTTTTTACGTTGTTATAAGTATACATTTTAACGTCGTCGCTTCCGTCCGCGTAGATACATTTCCCGTAGAACTTACATTTTTAAAATCAAGACCGAGGACGGTAATTTTACCGCGACTGTACGAGAATGTAAAAGTCGCACGGACGATAACACTTCTTTGCGTGACTGCAAACAATACAACGTTCCCAACATTTCCTTCGTAGAATCCATAAGGTGGTGATGAAGTCTCCGAATCTATTTCGAATCCACCTATTCCAAAAGTAATGAATTTTGCTTTCTTTTTATCAGTGTTTGAAATAGGATTGCTTTCGTAAAATCCCGGTAAGCCATACATCTGTGTAAGATCGTACCGAACAAAATTTTTTCCAAGTTTCATTCAGTTCGATAATACCGTTCAAATTTTTTACAATTTCCGCCGTATTTCCCTGCTGTGCTTTTTCCACGGTCGCTAATTTTTTTTGAAGGATTCTATGTCGTCCGACTCAAAGTGATCGTATCCAAATAAGATGCTCATATCTTTTGTTTTTAACGAAATGCAAAATATGCAAGTCCAAAAGAAACGGCTGTAATTACTCCCAGATCATTATTTTCAGGAGGACCGGGTTTTTCCGGTCTTTCAACTTTCCCAGGATTTGCTGCGGGTAAGGGATTTTCAGCTTTTCCATGATTTATCGTGGGGGTAGGTAGGGGATGGACGACTTTTTCATCGTAGTTTACCTTTTCATTTTTCCCGAACGTCATTCCATTTTTAGCGATCGTTAAAACATTACTGAATCCTGGAATGGGATTCATTAAAATTCGCATATCGGACGGAATTAGTATAAGTCCAGGCATGATTGCAAAATTTAAGACGACGTGTGTATTGATGATCCCCGTTCTCATGTTGGAAATAGTGATCGTGACGTCATCCTGAACGATCGTATCTTTCACGACTTTCCGAAAAACTTCTTGCGTCTGTAAACTTTTTGCACCTTGTCCGATAATAATCCATCGGGTTTTTGCTTGCGCTCCAAAAACGGAGTACACATAGGCTTCGATAGACTGTTGAAATAATTTTTGTCCGACTTTCGTAAGTCCACGCGATGTTTTTGAAATTAAAGTTTTATAGTCGTTCGTGACGTCGAACGGAGATCTTCCCGTTAAATATTCGTAGGCGATGTACGTTCCGCCATATCGAGTTCGTACGTATTTCTGGTTTCGGATTCTTTTTCGTACGTTCGCAGGTAATCCGTAATACCACGTTCCCAAATTCGCATGAGACGATACGGTTTGTCGGATCCATGTTTCGTGAACGGACGTATATTTTCGGATGGTTTTTATATCGTCGTGCGTTAAATATTGATCCAGTAATTTTGGATTGCGTAGAAATCTTTCCAGATGGTAATACAAGTGGAAACGGACGATGGACGTGACTAGGTTCGAATGCGAGAAATTATTTTTCAGATGGTCTTCGGAAATTCCAGACTTGAATGTAGCAACGTAACATGCTGCCAGCGAACAAAAATAAGAATTGGAATGATAATCAAAAGGTATGGTGTCGATGAATTTTACGGATTTATCGTAAGTGGGAGATGTAAATTCGAACGTCGTTAAAAAATTGTCGGTTTCCGTGACGTAGATTTTAAACGTATGCGTATCCATCGCAAAATCTTTGTTGGGACGAAAGATCATATCCGATCGAACGTTACGCCATCCTTCCATCCAGAATAAATATTTTGTCCATTCGGGATTGGTTTTAAAAGTTTCCGATGTGATATCGTAACTCGTTAAATCATCGACCTTATAAAAAATATCTCTTGAACTTACGGTTCCGTCTTTGGCGAACGTAACGTCGAAGTCGAACTTACTTAGATTCGCATTAGGATATTTTTTTAAAAAATTAGTCTTCGTCTTCCGGATTTCCACAGGAACTGCCGCTTTCACCTTCTCGTAATTTTTTCCGTAATATTTTCGGAAGATATCTTCTTCGCTCATATTTTATGTAATGTAGACTTCCAACAAGACATCTCCGGGAATAATTCCCTGTACATTGGATCCGACCGTAAACCGAAGTTCGTGGTATATTCCAACATCGGTATACACCTGACTTTCGATGTCGTTGTATTTCGTCGTCGTTCCGAACAATGGTTTTGTTCCGTCGACGGGAAGAGAGACGATGATATCACTTCTATCTCCAGACGGTTCTATATTGTTAACGCGGTTGACTAGATTGCATCCGACCGTAAGGTAACGTAATCCTTCGTGGATTTCGACGGGACGATCGCTTGGACGTGGTGCTGCGATCGGAGACTCGTACCCGAAAATATCTTTGAGATTCCAGAGTTTTAAAGATTTTATACCATTGGTGAATGCTATCTTTATCTTCCCGTCGTGGTATTCTTCGACCGTTAATCCTTTTTCTTCCATGACTTTTCTCAACTGTTTGAACGTCCAGTATCCTTCGTCGAACACGGTCTTTTTTCCATCGATAAAAATATAGTCGTTGTATCCCTTGCGAATATTTTGATAATTCCAGAATACGGCTTCTGTTTTCACGTAGAGTTTCCATCCGTGCGTAAGGATGAGTGGATCCTGTAATTCCAAGACGGTTTCTCCGTTTTCAACGTAAGCTGTGATCTTCTTCATGTCTTTTTATTTCTTAGGAAAATAAAATATGGGTTTACCGTTAGATATAGCTTTACGCGAAATATATTTTAACGTGAACGGTGGATACATGTCGATGGAAAAATTATATCGCGATGCCAAAGAGGAAGGTATCGAAGGAGTGACTCGAAAAAATGTGAAAGAATGGTTACAAACGCAGAATACCTACATCGTTCACAAATCGTCCAGAAAACATTTTAAAACTCGACGGACTTACGTGGACGGACTCGCGCAACAGATACAGATGGATCTTGTCGACATGCAAAAATTCAGTCACAAAAATAAGGGAAACAAATGGATTTTAACCGTGATCGAAGTATTAAGTCGGTACGCTTTTGCCGTTCCGGTATGGAGAAAAAAGACCGAAAGTATGACGAAAGCCGTCGAACGAGTTCTCGTGGAATTCAAAGAAAGATTCGGGAAATATCCTAAGACGGCACAGTTTGACGACGGGAAAGAATTCTATAATGTGGGAGTCAAGACGTTATTAAAAGATCACGACGTTCATTATTTTTCGACGCTGTCCACTAAAAAAGCTGCGATCGTCGAAAGATTCAATAGAACGTTAAAGACGAGAATGTGGAAATATTTTACGGAAAACAAGACGACCGTGTGTGTAGATATCTTACCCGATCTCGTGAAATCTTACAATCATTCCACGCATCGAACGATCGGTATGAAACCTGCAGATGTGAACGAAGAAAATAAAGACGAAGTCTGGACGAGAATTTACGGATATCCATTGAGTCATTTCCCAAAACCAAAATTCAGGATCGGAGATCACGTCCGAACGGCAATAGAACACAAGACTTTTGAAAAAGGATACACTCCGAATTTCATCGACGACGCTTACGTCGTGACGGAGGTGTATCGAGGAGATCCTAATATGTATGGTCTTAGAGATCCCGAGGATGGCGAAGATATTTTAGGACGATTTTACGAACAGGAATTATCTTTGGATCGAAGTAAAAAACAATAAATGGAAGACATGGAAATGAACGACTTCGATCAACACGACGACTACGACTGGGACGACTACGACGAAACAAATGTCGACGACGATCTATACGAAACCGGTCTGGAGGATCTGGATAAACAGGACGATGAATTATGGTTACGAGATTTCCGGAATGAGAATAGCGACGATAGATTTAAAGGAAGAAAAAGAGAAACTAATTACTTGTACACGACCGGATCGTCCGTCGACTTGAAAGCAGAATATATGAAAAAACTTTTCGCGAATGATTATAGATTAAATCCGAACGACGGATTAAACTCTAGAAATTTATTTTCCCGACTGGATGTCAGCGGATACTGGTTAACGTTTGACGACGTAAAAGTTGCATTCATCGATAAAAATGGAGAATACTATCTATCGAAAAATACGTCTATTGCACAAAGTCAAAAAGAGTTTAGGATTGCGTTCGAAAAGGCGACGGAAGAACATCGAAAGAATATCGTAAGTATCGTGGAAGAAGAAGCTGGAGGAGGTGATGATGCGTCGAGTGAAATGATCGACGCTATTTCCGATGATGTTCGCGATGAAATTCATCATGAAAATATTGACGATGATGTAGAATTTAAAGATCGGGTTTTAGACTTACACAACAAAGGAAAACTAACCGAACAGGAAGCAAGGGAACTCGTTGGAATAACGGTGACGAAAGGAACGCCGTCGGAAAAAATAAAATATTTAAAAATAGAACGCGAACGACTCAAAAAAGAATTGGAGACGGAAACCGATCCGGAACGTAGAGAAATCTTACGCGATGGATTGGAAATTATTCAACAGAATATCGACGATGCTAACTTAGAAATGCGACTTCGTCCCGAATCCGAAGAGGGAAAACATCGAGTTCAGGAAAAAGTTCGCGACGATGTACGAACGAAATTTGAAAAATTTTAAATGTGGGCAAGGGAAAATCTCGGAGTTTTATCTGCCATTGCTATTTCCATTGCCGGATTTATTACGACCGTCGTTGTTGCCGGAAAGAAAACTTTGGTCGGTACCACGAAAGGATTAGGAGCCGTGGGAAAAGCGTTGGCGAAGTTTCCAAAATCTGCGTTACCCATTCTCATTCCGATCCTGAATATATTAAGTACTATTCTAAGTTGGGGCGCAAAAGCACTTGAATTTCTTGCGAAAAATTTATGGATCGTGGCGATCCTGATTGCCGGTGTCGTTTACGAATACATTAAGAAAAAAAAAATCCGTTAAATAAAGAATGAATTGGACGAATGAACTTAATCCTAATTTCCGTCGTAGGAATAGGACGGATATTACCGGAAATAGAACGAGACACGTTCTTACGTTCAATCCGAATACGGCTAAACCCGGAGAAGAAATTTACGTCAACATTCCAAAATTAAAACCCGATTCTGTACTCGTACCCGATAGTATGGCATTGGTCTTCGACTTTAAAAATGCGAATACGAAATCTTGGTTCAGGAATAATTTGGGAAAGTTACTGCAGAAAAGATTAGAAATCCGACTTGCGGGTGAAAAAGTCTACGATAATAACGGAGAAAGTCTGTTGGAAGTCTACAAGGATCTATGGTTGAACGATAAACAACGCGAGGATCGTGTCGAAGATGGAATTGCAACGGAAGCCGCTCGGAAAAAAATCTCCAAAGACGACGATGTGAACGACGATGCGACGGCTACGGCATTATTCAACGTTTTCGGAACGAAACAAAAAATCAGGATCCATAAAATTCTAGGAGATCACGGTCTTTACGCCCCGTACAATATGGCGAAGGATCTTCAATATGTTATTACGTTACCACAAGCAACCGAAATTATGAGCGCACAAAGTTCGGAAACCGTGGATGGATATACGTTGGAAAATATCGAACTGGAATACGAATCCATCGATAATGTGGATCTCGCACGAAAATTCGAAAATCTATATGGATCCGAACGAGAATTATCGTTCGAACACGTAACGTTGATGAAAAAGTCGGAATGGAAAAAATATTCGACGATCGTCAACGAGACGATCAATGTTCCACGTCGAAGTATGAAAGCCATCGTCATGTTATTTACGAACAAGACGACGACGAATAGCGAAGAATATATCTTTCCCAATATCGAAAAAGTGAAAGTGACGATCGAAGGCGTACCGAACGTTATTTACAGTCAAGGCATTACGAAAACAAGATTGTACGAAGAAGCAAGACGACTTTTTGGAACCGATGAAAATAGCGATCAAACCTTACGAAATTTTACAAGGATAAAAAATTTGCGTTGGTCGTCGATCTTCGAACTGCGAATGATGCAAACGTCTACGGAAACGGCGTTCGAATCCAGAATACCCAGTCCGGAATATTAGTGGAAATTACGAGAAAAGCGACGACCGCCGACGTTGTATGTTATCTATTCGTTCTTTCCGACGGCGTGATCCGGATTGCAAACGGACAACTTGCGGGAATTAAATATTAGAATTATATAAAAAAGTTGTTTTTTCATATTCGGAAGAGTATGAAAAAAAAGTCATTTATCCCGTCTTCGTTGAATCTTCTTCCGAAGTAGGATTATCGGTTTTTCTTCGATCCGTAAACGTGTTTAACAGTCGTTACGCCGCCGCTTAGAATGCCTAAATATGGAATGTATGGAGATAATTTTTCGACGATACTTTTCACGTCGCTTTTCAAAAGTTTATCCTGATTTAATTCTTCTTTGAGTTCGGTTCCACTATCTATCATACGAATAGATTCCATGAGATCCGAAAATTTCTCGATCAATGTTTCGGTTAGTATCGCGTTCGCCTTTTCTCGTTGAGCATTGATATATTCTCTTTTTATTTTTTGAATGACACGAACCGTTGCTTTTTTTAAATAATTTTCAGATTGTTTGATTTCACCCGCATTTGATGAGCGGATAAGTTCCGCTCTCGTATCTTCTATGATTTCTGCCTCCGTCTGTTGTTGTTGCTGTTCCGGTATTTCTCCTTCCATTTTATTTATTATACGGGATTTTTGAATTCGTGATGATACGGATAAACTAATTCTATTTCGAGATGCGAATATTTATTTTCTTTTAATTTTTCGCGGATGGATTTTATTTCCGCGGGATCCACGAAAAGATATTCGTCCAGTATTATCTTCATATCTTGCCTATTGGATTATAGAACGTGACTAATTTAGATATGTTCTGACGATACGGTTTGGCGATCGACGTTAATTGTTGCGTGATCACGATCGTTGAAATGTTAGGATGACGTGCACTAAATCCTAGTTTTACTAATTCGCCCGTACGATCTTTCACGGATTTCGTACTTGCACAATCATCTAAAATAATCAATGATTCTTTTCCGGATGTATACAGGGTGTATAAAAAAAAGCGCAATCCTCGACTGAAATGTAAATTGCTACACAAATAGTAGACGAAAATGTTAAAGTTTACATTCATTTTAAAGCGTAGCCATTCAGCTTTCTAACAGTGGGTTGTTTCTTAAATTTGACTCATTGGTTCGCGGGTAATAATACTTTACGTTATTGCGATTGGAGATTAAAAAAATTGAGATGGAATAACAAATCGTTCTCATGAAAATAACTGATTTTTTCATTAAAACAAAAAATGTTGCATTTTAATAAATGGATTGTAACAATAAGTATAATTACGGCTTTTCTTCCACTATTTTTAACACAGTTTGAAACTTCAAATGAGATATAATTTTGGCTTGGACCATCTAAGCTGACTGACATCAGCTTGCTATAATTTCTGTTTACATTACATCGCAATTCGATGACACTCTGGCTCAGACACCAGAATGTTTTGATTCTATGATTTTTAGCATTCGTTTAGGATTTTCAAACAACCTGGTCTCTTTTAAAATACTTTTAATTTCTTCTTACGTGGTTTTCCAGATGTAGTGACGACAACATTAAAGTTTAAAGAAGAAAATTCTAACATTTAAACCGACTAAACAATAACATAGTAAACTTGCATAATTAAACAGCAACTAAAAATGATAGGTTTTACTAAATCTTTTCCTGTGCAATTATTACTAGCATTGGAGACAAGGATAATAGTTTGTTTGAAAGAGAAAAGAACAGACTTTGAAGTAAGCCTAAAAGCGTTTAACTAGAAATAGTATTTCGAAAGTTATTAAGCACAAAAGATGAATTGCGTTTATTTTGATACACCCTGTAGTCGACGATAAATTTAAGATAATCTTCCACTTCGTCCTGATGGCATGGAACGATGAAAAAAGACGGATCCTTATCAATACAATCTTGTTCGTATGTTTTGTTCCAATGATACGTCGGACAGATTAAAAATATATTTTCAAATTTACGGAAAAATGTTGTGTTCAGTTCGTCGACGAGGTATTGTGTTTTTCCACACGCAGTCATACCCACAATTATCATATTGAACGACATTTTATAAAATGGGATGTTCATCTTCAAAATCCGAAGTAAAATACAATAAAAATCATAAAAGAAGAAAAATGTTCAGTTTAGGTTTTGGGATCGAACGAGGAGATGTAGCGACGAACATACATACACAGATCGGATACGTTAGTGCAACCGTTAAAAATTACGATAAACAAAATGATGTTACGGAAACTCGTGTGGTTATGTCTGATCCAGCTCCTACTCATTCCGATCACGATCGAACTATTGCTACTGGTAATCCTGATTAAGTTAATATTTCAATAATGGGAAAAATATTATTGAAATGTGTCCTATACGGGTGGTGTATAGACTGGTTCCTCTTTCATCTCTGGTTTACGTTTCTTCTTCTTTCTACATTTCTGTATTAATTTCGTCGTAACGAAAAGAATGATGGATAATGCAGACGAACTACAGATTGCACATGTCGCGTAGAGAACGTTTGCTTCTTCTTCCGTTAGTACTACATTCGGAATTATCGTTGAATTCGCTCGCGAAGCAACCGCGGCTAATTTCATGGCGGAATGAATGACTGTCGTTGCTGGATTCATTTCTTTTTTATTTAATTTTTTTTTATTATTATTTTATTCGCTGGATACACTACCGAAATCGGAAACGCTGTCGCCGGATGAACGATCTGGTTTAACTCGGACTTCGTGTAATTTTATTTGAACGGAGACGTTATCACCGTTCACGTAAAGGCTTTCTATTCGAACAATTACATCCGATCGAAACCATCGATCACGATATTCGCGGTGACCGATCAACTCGCCGTTTTCTTCGAAAAAGACCGTTTCATCATCCAATTTCACATAGAGAATTGGAAATTTACCTTCTTTGAAAAGACATGCATTTCATTGTATTTTGTCTTTCCTACGAATTCGTAATGCGCGTATAACATTCCTCCCCGATCGTGTCGAAGATGGATACGAACATTTCATGTTCGTTATCAAGTAAAATTTGGAGAGTGAAGTCTATCTTTCCATACTTCTTACTTTTCTTCACCTCATACGACAAACAGTCGGGAATAAACAGTAGAAGTGTTTTTCCCTTCGATGTCGTCAGTCGGATTTTTTCCGTACCGAATTTTTCATACATGATCCGCTTACCGAATGCAAAAGAGTCTTTTGTGAAATTCTCGTGCTTAGTAATTCCTAAGTTATCGTGAGTCTTTTCTCGGCCGATTTGATTCATTTTTTAATTGTATATTTTATTTCTATAATATATTTATTTTTTTTCCAAATCCGGATTCCAAATTTCCCTAACCTCGAATAGGTTAGGGGGGAAAATGAATAATCTATATATTAGACTCTATCGACCGGATGGAACCGAACAGACCTTCTTTTATTCTATATCCAATTCTCATAAGATACTTTTTTTCCACGGTAACAAATCTTGGAAAAAGTCTTTTTTCTTTACAAATGTCTCCAGGAAAGGACGAGCCCGGAAAAGTCTTGGGAAAGTCTTGAAGAGGATCTTGGAAAAGTCTTGGGAAAGTCTTGGGAACGGATTTTATAAGTCTAGGGAAACAACTTTTACAAAATGTTTCGAAGGGGCGGAAGAGAAGTCCCGGAAAAGTCAGACGTGACTAAACTTGTTTGGTAAAATGCGCGTTTTAGCAAACTGTGCTAGAACCGGTGTTTTACCACTACTCTTGACATATGGAATGTATATTGTTACCGCAATGCCCACGACTCCTCTACGGATGAGGAGAACGACGAAGAGGAATACGATGAAGAATTCCATCCGACACACTTCCCGAGCGTGCCCTGTTGTGTCACGATCGTCAATCACGATGGTTATCTTGACGCCATACAGTCAGCAATCGAAAGGCTGCAATCGGATGGACTTGTGTTAGAAACATCATTGTCGCCCCAAGTAGACACGATACAATCATTGTCGCAGCCTAATGAAATTACACGAACCATCAGAAAGATTGCTCGCGTTATGGTAATCTGCGGCCACGTTCTTCACCGCTCCGCAATTAATACCACCCCCGCCAATGCGAAGATGACTTATGTCCGAATGATGGATGTTTCAAGTTATTTGAATAAGCTTCTTGCAAACGACGCCCTGAACAACGACCTTGTTCGACACTTCCAAGCGGTTGAGAGAATACTATCACATCCAGCCTGCGAAATGATCAAGCAAATTTAATTCGACTTAGATCTAATCGAAGTGTCTAACGGTTCTTGTTTCTCCATCAGCAAACGCGCGTTCATGGCGAACGCTATTCCATCGTCAAAGATCGGCAAGTTATCACCACGGGCCTTCGTTCCTTATGATTGTTCAACACCACCCCAATTAGTAAATTTCCTCAACAAATTTTACCAGTGTCTCTTTGCTTCTAAAATGCCCCAGAAGACAAGGAAACTTGTAGTAGCTGGTCCACGTAATTCTGGTAAAACTTGGTGCAACGTATTCCATCGTGGTGCAACGTATTCCATCGAATTATTTCACCCGAATGTATCGCATCAGTAACAAATGAAGGTCAGTTTTCGGCGGCTATGATTACAGAGAAAACCCAACTGGTGATAATTGATGAGTGGTCGAGCAACAGAATGCAGTCGGATCTGGCAAAGACCGTCCTTCAAGGTGGTTGGATGGTCACTTCCGTGAAACATGGCCCTCCAAGATGCGTGAACAACAATAGCCCGTTTTATATCACAACTAACAACGTTCCTGATTTTCGCAAAGAGGACGAAAATGTTAAACGTCGAATTCGCATATTCCAAACGACGTCTTTACCAAACACTATTCCTGGCATCGATAGTTGGATTTTCGATCACGCAATGGACTGCATTGCCTGGACTGCGGAAGAAATCCACCAGCATCGAGATCTTATCTGCCATGAAGAACTTTGGTACGAGAATTGCGAGAACGCCCCCGTGGCTTCCAGAGATCGTGAATCCTTATGGAAACGACACGAAATTGATCAAATTACGAAAGCTGACATGCAACCCCTGTGTCATAAAGAAACCACAAAAGTTGACGAGCGTACCATTCATCCCGGATTTACGGCAGAGTTGCGTTCCAGACGGCTTGCCAGGAAAAGAAAGATAGGAGAGGGATTGTTTACGACACTTCAACAGACGACGAAGGAAAGATTCGCGAAAGAATCGAAGACAACAGCGAGGAAAATCCGAACGAATCTGAAAACTCTGACATGGAGATGGAACGGTCACCATCGGTCACTGAGGGGGGAACAAACGCAAAGCATGTGGACACCGAACAAGATCGAGGTGAAGAAATGCGTGACACTGAAGAGAACATAAACGAATCTGAAAACTCTGTCATGGACATGGAACGGTCACCATCGGTCTGTAAGAGAGGAACAAGCGCAAAGGGCGAGCAAAATGGAAGCGAACAAATGCGTGACAGTGAAGAAAACATGACATCTCGCACAGATATGCAACCTCCACCATCGGTCAGTGTGAACAACAAGGACAAGGCGAACAGTGCGATTGCAAGAAATGATTATAACACCTTGACAACCAGGTACTCCTCATTTACTCCGCCAGCAGGTTGGGTTCTTAACGACGAGGAATACGTGGACAAAGTTGCAAATTACATAGAGTGCTCCCTCTAAAAAAATCTAAAAAAAGGTCATCTCCATTCGTTCATAGAACGAAGGGATAGGGCGCATTCGAAACGAACCCATGCCGACCGGCAATTCTGGGAAAAGGCACACCCCGAAATCGATGCGTGGATGTTGGCAACGGGAAGAGTAAGAGAGGTCTTCAACATAGAAAATTCGTGAAAAGGCACCCAGATATTCTCCCAGCACTTCAATAGCTGAGGAAGGATTTGAATGTTCTTGTTCTACAAAGTCGCTGTCCAGTAAATAGGGCCTTAAACGCCAACACAAATAACGTTGAGCAAAGAGAGGGGCCACAGCCTTCATCCCAAACATTCTGGACCACATTTAAAAGCTGGATTGGCAAGTAAATGGGAACACTTACGGTTAGATCGAAAGACATTAAGTCGTTACATTTTATAAAGCTATCAATTTTGTAATTCCTCAATCGCTTGTTGTGCAAATATAAAAATAGTGTAATTTATAAATGTGCTATTAACTATTTTAGTGAAAATCCTTATAGTGCAGAGAATAGCGAACTTACAACATTATGCTGAGTGAACCATTACATTATCACGTAATAACATGCTGTGTGAATATTGGAAAAATAAACAGTTCAAATAATACCAACAATAAATTTTCCACAAAATTATAAAAGTCCTATATGTAAATGTTAGAAAGAAGCTTATGTTCAAACGAACTTAGTTCAATCCACCGAAATTAGTGTTTCAAAAATTTACCAGTCCTACGCGCTACTAATATAAATTGCAACAAAAACGACGGGCTACCTGTCAAAATCACGGGCTACCCCATGTTAGTAGCCCGGCATCGATTTTTCTCTTAGTGTCGAGTGAAACTAATTTTTGTAATATTTAACGGGCTACGGGCTACTAATATAAATCCCAACAAAAACGACGGCCTAGCCCGTTTACCTGTCAAAATCGCGTGCTACCAATGGAAGTAGTCCGTGGTTGAAATTTTTTCTAAGTGTAGTTTAAACTATGAATAAAATGAGATAAATTGTGTTTGAAAATATTCTAAGTCTTTCGTAAATGAACATTTGAAAAAGACGCTTGGTAGCCCGTGGTTGAAATTTTTCTAAGTGTCGAGTGAAATTAGTTTTCCTAACATTTAACGGGCTACGGGCTACTAATATAAATCCCAACA